TACACATTCATGTGGGATGGATTCCTGGAACACTAACAAAAGTTAACACAGCCATACCTTGTTTTATTGCACTTCATTTTCTTGTGCTTTCCAGATATTGCTTTTTTTTTTCTTTTTTTTTTTTTGACAAATTGAGAAATTGAGGGTTTGTAGCAATCCTGTGTAGAGCAAGTCTCCTGGTGCCATTTTTCCAAAACATTTGTCACTTTGAGTCTCTGTGTCATGTTTGGCAAGTCTCATAATATTTCAGCCTTTTTCATTATTCTTATATTTGTCATGGTGATCTGTGATCAGTGATGTTGCTATTGAAATCATTTGGAGTGCCATGAACCGCACACCCATATAAAATGGCAAATTTCTTTCATAAATGTTATGTGTGTTCTCACTGCTCCACTGATGGGCCATTCCCCCATCTCTCTCCCTCTCCTTGGGCCTCCCTATTCCCTGAGACAAAACAATATTGAAATTAGGCTAATTAATAACCCCACAGAGGCCTCTAAGTGTTCAAGTGAAAGGAAGAGTCACATATCTCTCAGGTTAAATAAAAAACTAGACATTTAAGCTTAGTGAGGAAGGCAAAAAAGAGGTCAAAAGCTAGATATCTTGCATTAAATAGACAAGTTGTGAATGTACAGAAAAACATTTTAAAGGAATTTTAAAATGTTATGCCAGTGAACCTATGAATAACAAAGCAAAACAGCCTTATTTTTTATATGGAAAAAGTTTTAGTGGTCTGGATAGAAGGTCAAACCAGCTACAATAGTCCCAGAGTAAGGTCCTAACACTTTTCAATTCTGTGAAGGCTGAGAGATGTGAGAAATCTGCAGAAGAAAAGTTTGAAGTTAGCAGAAGTTGGTTCTTGGGGCTTAAGAAGCCGTCTCTATAACATAAAAGTACAAGGTGAAGCAGCGAGTGCTGCTGATGTAGAAGCTGCAGCTAAGTTATACAGAAGATCTAGCAGAGATGACTGATAAAGGTTGCTACACTCAACAACAGATTTTCAATGAAGATGAAACAGCCTGATATTGGAAGAAGATGCCATCTAGGACTTCCATAGCTAGAGAGGAGAAGTCAGTGCATGGTTTTAAAGCTTTGAAGGATGGACTGACTCTCCTGTTATGGACTAACGCAGCTGGTGACTAAGTTGAAATCAGTGCACACTGACCACTCTGAAATTCTGAGGGCCCTTAAGATTGCTAAGTCTACTCTGCCTCTGCTCTTATAAATGGCACAATAAAGCCTGGATGACAGTGCATCTGTTTACAACATGGTTTACTGAATATTTTAAGCCCACTGTTGAGACCTACTGCTCAGGAAAAAAAAGGTTCCTTTTAAAATATTACTGCTCATTGACAATGCACCTGATCACCTAAGAGCACTGATGGAGATGTACAACGAGATTAATGTTGTTATCATGCTAACACAACATCCATTCTGCAGCCCAGGGATTATTATTTAAGCAATACATTTCACAAGGCTATATAGCTGCAGTAGATATGATTCTTCTGATGGATCAGGGCAAAGTCAAATAAAAATCTTCTGGAAAGGATTCACCATTCTAGATGTCATTTAGAACATTCCTATTTCATGGGAAGAGGTCAACATACCAACATGAATGAGAGTTTGAAGGAAATTTGAAGGAAGTTTGATTCCAACCCTCATGGATGATTTTGAAAGGTTCATGACTTCAGTGGAGGAAGTAACTGTAGATGTGGTAGATATAGCAAATGAACTAGAATTAGAAGTGGAGCCTGAAGATGTTACTGAATTGCTGCAATCTCATGATGAAACTTCAGCGTATAATGAGTTGCTTCTTATGGGTGAATTAAAAAAATGGCTTCTTAAGATGGAATCTACTCCTGATGATACTGCTGTGAATACTGTTGAAATGACAACAAAGGATTTATAATATTACACAAACTTAGTTGATATAGCTTTGGCAGGGTTTGAGAAGTTTGGTTCCAATTTTGAAAGAAGTTCTACTGTGTGTAAAATGCTATTCTCGGTGAGGAAAAAAATTTCTTCTACCCTCCTGGATTCTTCGGCTGGTCTAAGAATTAAATTGACGTGAGACAGATAAACAGAAGTAAAGCAAACAAAAGTTTACTAGCATGTATACATGGGAGAGACCCAGAAAAAGTGAGTAACTCACCAAGATGACTGAAACCCTCACCTTAAATACCATCTTCAGTTAATGACAAAAGAGTATGTTGGGGGTAGTTGTTTGGGACTTCCACTGGGGAGAAAGACAATTCACATGAAGATGGAAAAACAAATGTTTTGGTAAACAAATGGTTTCTGGGCATGCAGAGAGGATGGGACACAGACTGGACTCTGATCTCTGGGCCCTGCCAAGTTTTCCTCCACTACACCTAGCCCATATTCTTTGCAGGTACCTCTGATGAGGCCTTTATTCTGGCAACAGCCCCTTTATCTAAATTCTTTACACAGCTAAAGGGGAGGTGAAAAGAAAGACTTACAGACTCTTCTCTTTCTTAAAAATAATCAACATAAATTAATCCTTATGCCAGAAAGACATATTTTGGGGTGGTAAACGTGGCAAACTTTGTTCCCCTATACTATCAAACAGCAATGCATGCTATAGAGAGATTTTCCATGAAAAGGAAGAGTCAATCAATCCAGCAGACTTCATCATTGTCTTATTTAAGAAATTGCCACCACCACCCCAACCTTCAGCAACCATCACCTTCATCAGTCGGCAGCCATCCACATCCAGGCAAGATCCTCCTCCATAAAAAAAAGATTAGGACTCACTGAAGATTCAGGTGATGGTTAATGTCTTTTTAGCAATAAAGTATTTTTGATTCAGGTATGTACATGAATACATTGATTAATACATTAATTAATGCTACTGCATTAATAGACTACAGTATGGTGTAAACATAAGTTTTCTATGCGCTGAGAAAGCAAATAAATTGTGTGTCATTCTATTGCAATATTTGCTTTATCACAGTGGTCTGGAACTGAGCCCATAATATCTTCAAGGTATGCCTGCACTGGAATGCAAACAGATCAAATACAAAGGCTGACATATCAGGCACTCAGAAATGCACATGCTCTTTTTTTTTTTTTTTTTTTTTTTTTTTACTTATTACAAACTTTAATTAAAGCCTATTCTCTAATCTGACATTTAAGTGAAATAGTAGATATAAAAAATGTCTTTACGATTAAGTGTTCTCCCCAAAATCTCTTTTGTGACTGAGGTTGTAAAAACTCTTATACTGTAATTTTGCTCCCTGCCATTCATCATGATGGTGCTTTTAGTGCTCTCTGGATTTCTAGTCTGTGTATAGATGCCTATGTAGGAATAAAGGACATCAAACTTGGAGTACTTAATTGCAGTTAATCCCATAGGACCCAATCATTGCACAAAACATGTGGAATCAGCTAATGTCGAATTTGCTTATTACTGAAGAGAGTCAATGTGGAACAGAGCTTGCTTGAGTGGATGATATTGATAATTTTGGACATGTGCTAAATATCTTACGTAGATCTTCTCATTTAATTTTCAGAATAACCCTATGAAGTAGCTACTCTGATGATCCTTTTTTTTTTTTTTTTTTTTTTTGCGGTACGCGGGCCTCTCACTGCCGTGGCCTCTCCCGCCGCCGAGCACAGGCTGCGGACGGGCAGGCCCAGCAGCCGTGACTCACGGGCCCAACCGCTCCGCGGCATGTGGGATCCTCCTGGACCGGGGCACGAACCCGCGTCCCCTGCATCGGCAGGCGGACTCTCAACCACTGCGCCACCAGGGAAGACCCCCCCCTTTTTTTTTTTTTTTTTAACATCTTTATTGGAGTATAATTGCTTTACAACGGTGTGTTAGTTTCTGCTTTACAACAAAGTGAATCAGCTATACATATGTATATATCCCCATATTCCCTCCCTCTTGCGTCTCCCCCCTCCCACCCTCCCTATCCCACCCCTCTAGGTGGTCACAAAGCACCGGGTTGATCTCCCTGTGCTATGCGGCTGCTTCCCACTAGCTACCTATTTTACATTTGGTAGTATATATAAGTCCATGCCATTCTCTCACTTCTTCCCAGTTTACCCTTCCCCCTCCCCGTGTCCTCAAGTCCATTCTCTATGTCTGCGTCTTTATTCCTGTCCTGTCCCTAGGTTCTTCAGAACCATTTTTTTTCTCTTTAAGATTCCATATATATGTGTTAGCATACGGTATTTGTTTTTCTCTTTCTGACTTACTTCACTCTGTATGACAGTCTCTAGGTCCATCCACCTCACTACAAATGACTCAGTTTCATTTCTTTTTATGGCTGAGGAATATTCCATTGTATATATCTGTCACATCTTCTTTATCCATTCATCTGTCGATGGACACTTAGGTTGCTTCCATGTCCTGGCTATTTTATTGTAAACAGAGCTGCAATGAGCATTGTGGTACATGACTCTTTTTGAATTATGGTTTTCTCAGGGTATATGCCCAGTAGTGGGATTGCTGGGTCATATGGTAGTTCTAGTTTTAGTTTTTTAAGGAACCTCCATACTGTTCTCCATAGTGCATCAATTTACATTCCCACCAACATGCACATGCTCTTTGATCTTGCCATTACTCAGACTCTCAATGATATATCCCAATCCTTCCTTCACAGCATGGTGCCAGGAATAACTTTTGCCCCTTTCTTCCACCTTTCTTTCCAGTGAGAACTTTCCCTTCAACTCTTGGCATTGAGTACACCTGCTCCTTCCTCTCTCTTGTTCTCCAATAACTCCTGCCTGTCCACATGCACTCACGCTGGGTGCAAGTGCATATCTCATTTCAGGGTTCTAGCCAAGAATTGGGGGTGGTGACTCAAAAGACAGGAATTCACTAAAGAAGATAGGTGAGAGTGGGAGAAGAGCCCCTCAGACGGGAAGAGAAAAAGGGAGGCAGCCCATAGCAAGGTGACACAGTGTGAGTGAAGGGGGAAATGTATAATCAGGGTCATCTCATTGTTTATCTTATCTCTTTCTTCTTCAAGGTCACCAAGCCCAGGAAAAGCAAGGAACAACCATTCAATCCTGAATCATATATGGAAGCCTGATTATAGCTGTTCTTCTAAAAACCTGGATGTCATTAATATTGATGTTTATGGAGCTAAGATCGAAGTACAGAAAAAAAGTATATATGTATACATATGGTTGAAATACCACAATATGTATCCTAGCCATTAATTCTTAGGAATGGGGTGCTTTGCATTTTTTTATACTTTTCTGTACCATCTCAATTCCTAATTTTGCATCTATAACTTTTATAATTTGGAAATAATAATAAACATGATTTTTCCTAAAGACATGCCTCCCTAGGAGTCTAGTTCATTGCTTAAAAGCAAATAGTCTGTGGGCTGCAAATCAGATAGGGATACTTAAGACCCAAGCAATATTTGGATTTATACTTTGGTTGTGATCTTTACAGAATATAACTCTGGTAAAGAATGAACAGGTTGAACAAGCTGTGCCCTGCTCAAAGAAACCCAAGAGGAAGCCAGACCAGCTGAAATCCAGTCTATGCTTCAATTGCCAACCCCTATCCTAGGGTGGAGTTGCTTTAGTCCAAAACAATGATATCTTTTCAGAATTCATCTCCTGGAGGGGCCATAATTGGGTAATTTGTGTACCAAATAAGGCAGCTTCTGATGATTTGCATGAAGTCACTAGTATATGTTGGAAGTAATTCTAGCCCTGTCTGATGTGAAATAACTGGTTCCACTTACTTATTCAGGTACTAACAGGTAAGTAGCTCTGCAGCTATACTTCCTGGTTCTCACATGTGTGGATCCTATGAGGAAGTTGCTCCAGGCAAAGACTTGCATTAGGCAAACACTGACGAATAATTAATTTAGTTTAGAGTACAGTGGCGGAAAGTAGATAGCTAACACTGAAATTTACAATGTAGTTTTTTACATGTATTTTATTGAAGTAGAGTTGATTTATAGTGTGTGTTAATTTCTGCTGTACAGCAAACTGATTCAGCTATACATATGAATGTATTCTTTTTTGTAATCTTTTCCATTATGGTTTATTACAGGATCTTGAATATAGTTTCCTTACAGTGTATTTCTTGATCCCATACTTGGTACCTGGTGTTTTGCAATTATTTTGTGTCACTTAATCTTATATTAGCTCTAGAGGGTTGATAGTGTTCTTCTTTTCACTCCCCTAGTAAGAAAAATAAGGGACAGAAGGTAAGATCATGTTCCTAATGATTAGAACTGTTCCATCATAACAAGAATTTCCCTCATGACACTTTATTGTCAAGGCTTCCTCCAATCCAAGCTCCTGGTAACCACTGATATAGCTTCTTAACTTAAACTTTTCCCTTTTCCAGAGTTTCCTAAAATAGAAGTTAAAATGTATATAGCATTTTGAGTCTGACTTCTTTCACTTAGTATAGTACATTTAAGATTCATCCATGTAGTTGTGTGTATCAGTTTATTCCTGTTTATTGCTGCGTAGAATTCAATGTGTGGACCCACCAAAGTTTTTTTATCCATTCCCCAAGTGAGGAGCAATTGGATTGTTGACACTTTGACATATTCACAAATAAAACTGCTGCAAATATTCCCACGCAGATTTTTGTGTGAACCTGTGTTATCATTTTCAATGAATAAAAATCTTGGGGTGAGACTGTTGGTTCATATGATAAATGTATTTCAAATATATAAGAAATTGCCGGGCTTCCCTGGTGGCGCAGTGGTTGAGAGTCCACCTGCCGAGGCAGGGGACACGGGTTCGTGCCCGGGTCCGGGAAGATCCCACATGCCGCGGAGCAGCTGGGCCCGTTAGCCACGGCCGCTGAGCCTGTGCGTCCGGAGCCTGTGCTCCACAACGGGAGAGGCCACAACAGTAAGAGGCCCGCGTACCGCAAAAAAAAAAAAAAAGAAAGAAATTGCCAAACTGTTTTCTAAGGTGGCTGTAGCATTTTTCATTCCCCTGAGCAATGTGTGAGAATATCAGTTGCTCTGCATCCACCTCAGAGTTTAGCATTGTAAGTGCATGTTAATTTTAAAAAACAAACAAAGAAACTGTCCAACTTTTTTGCCAAGTTCTGTACCACTTAACATTCTTGCCACCATTGCATGACAGTTCTACTTCCTCCTCATCTTCATCAGCCCCTGGTATGGTCAATCTTTTTAAATTTTAGTCATTCTAATTGGTGCATAGTGGTATCTCACTGTAGTTTTATTTTGCATTTCCCTAAAGATAAATAAGGTTGAGCATCTTTTTATGTCCTTATTTGCCACCTATGTATTTTTTTTTGCCCATCTTAAAAATTCAGCTGTTTGTTTGCATAATACTGAGTTTTGAGAATCCTTTATAAATTCTGGGTACAGGGTCTTTAGTGGCTATGTGACTAGCAAATACTATGTCTCAATCTTTGGCTTGCCTTTTCATGATTTAAAGGTAACTTTTGAAAAGACATGTTCATTTCGGTGAAGTTTAAATTATCAAAAAATTTTCTTATGTATATTTTTTTAATGCTTGGGGAAAAAATCAAAAGAAGAATGTGGCACATGAAAATTATATCAAATTCAAATTTCAATGTCCACCATACAGTTTTATTGGAACACAGACATGCTCATTCATCTATGGATTGTCTATGGCTCCTTCTGTAGCCAGTGCAAGGTTAAGCATCCGTAACAGAGACTCTAGGACCCACATAGCTTAAAATATATACTATTTGGTGCTTTACAGAAAAATTTTGCCAAGCCCTCTTTTGGAACCTTAGTGGTCTTCTAGTGCACTTAAACATAAGAAAAAAGTAAATTTTATATTAACTTCATTTTTCAGATTATCTGTGAGGCTGACAATCTTTTCATGCTATAAATCTTTCATATGTGATTTCCTGTGAATTTGGTTATTTTTACTCATCTGTATGGAACTGTTTATCCAGGAATTATCCCATTCTGACTAGCCTGGGTTTGGGAAGGAACCTGTGTACTGCTGCTCTCCAGTAACTCACAGTCTGATTGAAGAGGCTGTCTGTATTAGGTATTCTTCAATTAAATGCTGTTTAGACCAGTTGATCTGAATTGATCCATTTCATTTCAATTTTTCACCTTAATAACCTGGATGGAGAGAACATATACATAGTCTGAGATGAAGTTGATCCATTACCCCTTCAATGCTTCCACTGTCCTCCTAAAGTGCATCTTTCTTTTCTTCTCATAAAATCATCTTCTTTCCTTCCTCCTAGTACATTGTTCACTCTTGAATCACTCTTCTGAAGTTAAATCTGGCTCGAGATATACACTCCTACTTAACAAGGTCACATATGCCAGTGTCTCAAGTCTCCACCCCACTCTTAAAAAGGGAGACAGCAGCCAGTGCAAACAAAGCTAAGAAATGGGGAAGAGGACCAAGTAGTGGCAGCAAGATGTACTGGTATGAGGGAGAGATGAAAAGTCAGCAGTACGGGTTTATCCTGACTCAATTTCCCTGGACTATGGTAGGTGCAAGGAATTGACTTTGAGAAATGTGTCCTCAAGGTATACCTGGTCTGTGTCTACTTTTATATACCTCTTTCAGAATAATTTGTCCAACTTTGGGCAAACCGCCTGCATTAGACTTAGTGTTGAACACTAAGTATTCAACAGTCTGTAGGGTTGTGTGGGTGCCACAGCATATGTCTCTGCCTTATGAAGTCCATGTCCTCTTAACTGTGTGTCTAGGATGTGTATTTCCTAAAAGGAAGCTCCTAAGTTCTGTGAGCTGTAAGTGTACTACATATCAGGGTCTTCCACACCATATCCTCTTCAATAGCACCTGTCCAGTTTGCTGAAAGCGAACACAAAACGTTATCCTTTTGGAGAGTTGCCTTTCCTCCGTGAAGTTCTCACCTTAATGAAACTATGAACTCCAGATTTCAGCTGTAGTTTTTCTCCAGCTTTTGACAGCTTGAAGAATGTAAGTTAAAGTTTATCCCCTTCTTTACACTGGATTTTGTTCTCTTTTCCAAACACCAAATACTTTCATCCTTCCTGTGTTGTCATTTAGGTCATATATATATATATATATATATATGATTCCTTTGTTCTGCTTTCTGCAAAAATAAAATCAACACCCAACTTTTGGTAATCTGATTAAGGAATGCCACATCAATCACACATCAGAAGTGCCAGCAACAGCCTCCAGAAAGAGATATAAGGGAAAAACTACAGGTTGAATCTGGCACGTATACAGCTAGTAGACGTTAGCAACTTCAAGTAGAGAAGATAGTTATGTTTTTCTTAGATCCTATTGCCCCTTACATCCATCTTTCCAGTTCCAAGCTCCCTTCCCTTAGGAGGCTAGGATGGCCATGTGAGCCAATAATTGGTAGGGCCAGTAGTCAGAATAGGCAGGGGAAAGAAATCCCAGAGTTGGAGGACAATTGCTTAAAGCGACAAATCCAAGAGACACATGAGCAAATGATGCAAAACCTACTGAAGAGTCTAAATAAGAGTTAGGAATGAGGAGGAGTACAATGTCACCCCCAAATATCGCATTTTGACATGTGGATTTTGAGCTAAAGGCAATTAAGAACCAGCAGGCTCAGGAAAACCTTTTTACATCTCCCTAAACCTACCTAAAAGAATTTAGATAGGGGGCCTCTACCAGAAAGAGAGGTATTACCAAAGGTAACTTTTTACATCAGAAAGACTTATCTTCATGATAGGGCAAACATCTATTTACCAAACATCTGTTGTTCTTATCTTCCTGTGAATTTTCTTCCTCCCCTTTGAAGCCCCAGACCTCTACCCACTTCTGATTAGCTCAGGATGGTAATATAAGCCTCAGTTGCCTGGCCTTCTTTGAGTCTCATATTTTTTTATGGGGCTCCCATAAGGTTTAAATCAGGGGTCCCCAAGCCCTGGGCTAGGGACCAGTGGCGGTCCCTGGCCTGTTAGGTCCCTGGCCTGTTAGGAACCTGGCTGCACAACAGGAAGTGAGCGGCGGGTGAACAAGTGAAGCTTCATCTGTATTTACAGCCGCTTCCCATCGCTCTCATTACTGCCTGAGTTCCGCCTCCTGTCAGATCAGCCACGGAATAAGTGTAACGTGCTTGAATCATCCTGAAACTATCTCCCACCCACGCCCGTAGAAAAATTGTCTTCCATAAAACCGGTCCCTGGTGCTGAAAAGGCTGGGAACCGCTGGTTTAAATTACAGACACTTCCTGCCACATTGGATTGTTCCAGTTACTGATATATCCTGAGCCAATCTCTGTTTTGCCTTGTCTCTTTGGATGCAGTTCCATGGAATGCTGATGCCTCCAGCAGAATAAGCCCTCCTACTGAGTCAGCACCCCAGCTT